AACCTGAAGTGAAGGATGATAATAACAGAATGAAGAGAGAGCAGAAAATATTCAGAAAAGTGAATCCTACAAAATACATTTATATATCTAGTTTTCTTTGCCAAATTCATTTTGGAGGAAACTAAATGGTACTTGTAAAAAGTTTACTGTCACATTTTGTGTACTGCACAGAAGTCATAGGGAGAAGGTCAAGGTTGGTGGTAGAATTTATAAAATACAAGAGTCTGAGGTTCATGTCCTGCAACTGTTGCACTGCTCTGCAGAGAAACACAGAGACAGACGCTTGTTGGCACAGATATGGTGTTTATTGTACCAGAGCGCACCAGGTAAAGCAAGAGTGAACAGCAGTGAACACATCAGTTGGTTAATGGAAATGTGTTAGCAAACATGCCTCTTTACACATCCAATAGTCACAGAGCAATTTAGGATTCATTTGAAGCAGAGTTAGTGTGATGATAGTATGTCCAGTATTCACTGCCCTTTTGGCTCTGGTCTCCACCAACTCACAAGCTACTCCCTAATCCCTGATGTTTGGTTCTGGACAGGTAGTGTACAGTGGGTTTATCAGAGCTTTTAGACCAAGAACAGCTGTCTACTGCTGCTGGAAATGAGGTTGATTAGAGTGCTGAGACTGAAGTTGCAATCTGTAAAGCCAAAACAATGAGCTGAAAGATGCTGAAATGCTCCATAGAGATGTGCAAAGTTAAAATCACGTGATAATGCTCTGTAGTCTCGTCCGTTTCAGGGTCAGTGATCAGGGCAGTGGTAATGCATATCTCTGGCATTCTGGCAGAGAGAAAAACTGCGGTTAGAGAGACATCATAAATTACAGAAAACACTAAATGACAGCTGCAGACTCCAGACACTTTTTACATCTGGCTGGGATTATGTTAGGTTGCCAGGTAGTATGTTAGCCAAGATTATTTTCTTGGTTTCTGGGACAATGAACCCCCAATGGCAGACAGTTGCAGAGAATAAGAAAGAAAATCTAAAAGCAGGGCGGCACATTTCCCTGCTGTCTAGAGGGGCCAGAATACCGCAGAACCATCTCAACCCATGTTGAAGTGTCCCTCAGCGAGTCATTCTCTCCTAACATGATCACTCATTGCATGCTGGATCTACTATGGATTGTAGTGTCAGGAAAGAGCAGGAATAAACAGAAATGAAAGGGACAGAAAAATGCTAAAAGGTAAACAGCATGTCTCAGAAACTGCTACATGTGTTTATGCTGATGTGGATGGGTGGAAATTCCAGCAATTGTTTTCAGATAAACATCACATTGACTAAAGATAGTGCAAAGACTCATCCTCTAGACCCTTTGTTTGTAAGTCACATTGTTCAGAAACATGGGAGACAATGAAATCTGTATGATGTGTGGCTTAGAGGCAGAGCGGGTTGTCCACTAATTGGAAGGTTGTTGGTTCAATCCCAGGCTCCTCCTGCCATGTGTCGAAGTATCCTGAATTTTGCGTGTTTTGTATGAATGAATTAGTTTCTGTTCGATGGGCTTTGTCATCACTGAGTGAATGTGTGTGAAAGGGTGAATGTGGCAGGTAGTGTAAAAGCGTTTTGAGTGGTCGGAAGACTAGAAAGGTGCTATACAAGTACAGGTCCATTTACCGTTTACCAAAACAACATTCTCTATGCTAATGAACCCCCCCATTCACTGGAAGTTTCCAGACACTAGCGGTGGTCAGAGTAATACTTTTGACTAAAATGTATTTTGTATGTATTGTATAGTTTTATTAACATTTTAGTAATTTGATTATTGTTAATTTAGGTATAAAATGAAAACAGTGTTCATGTCGCTGCCCTTGTAAAAAAAACATGGAACAAACTGACTTGGCATTATTGTAGCAGATCTGGGTGGTCATTTAGAAGGTAGATTGTTCACTGAGATACTGTCTGGGTTTAACTTGAGATACAATATTAATATCCATCCATCCGCACACCTCTAAAAATGTCAGCAAGTTCTAGTTGTTTATCTCAGATATTTTGTTGCTATATTTTCCTCATTTTCAGTCATATTATAGATGAATTTGGTCCATAAGTTACTTCTTTCCAAAAACTGCTTTCATTATACATTATATATACATGCATATACATGATAGGCAGAAACACAACATTTTTAAAATGCAAGATCTCAGTGCATCTAAATCAAGGGAAGCTACTGTTTACAGTGATTAGGAGCATACAATCTGCATTATAGGGATGTCCGATAATATCGGCCGTCCGATATTATCGGCCGATATGCACTAAAAAATGTAATATCGGGAATTATCGGTATCGGGTTTTTAGAACCGATGTTTGTTCTGTAGGCTTCAGCATTTCCGAGCCTGCGTGAACGCAGCATGGGACGTTTACCGGCGCGCGCTAGATGACGTATAACAACAACAGCTACCAGCTAGACTGGTTGGTTGCTAACCGTGGCTAACAAGCAAACAATTTAAAGCTGAATGATTTTAATATTAACACAAAATAAATGTAATGCACCTTAAATATTTGACCCTGCTATGAGCTGTTCCTTAACCAAACTAACAATTGGTTAGAATTTACATTAGCACTCCTTCAGGTGCAGAATACAATTAAACACATTAACCAAAGCTAGCACTTAGCCAGCGCTTAGCGTTAGCGCTCTTTTCAGTATTAATACAATGAAAGTTGAAGTTGTTCTCTTATTTTGCACAGACAGTGTTTACATTTGGAAAGCCATGTTGCATTTATGTATGCATCCAGTGGGGCATCACAATAAAATGAGGCATAATGTGTTAATTCCACAATAGGAGATATGTTATGTTGTTAACAGTTTTGGTGTAAAAAGCCTGCATATATCGGTATCGGGTGATATCGGTATCGGAAATTGAGAGTTGGACAATATCAGAATATCGGAATATCGGATATCGGCAGGAAAGCCAATATCGAGCACCACCAATTATAACAGTTATTAATTAACATGTCCATTTGTCCATCTTCACATAATTGTTTAGTTTTTATACCCAGAAATTTTATTTAAGTTTTATTTTCAAAGATTACTTTTATTTAGTTTTAGTCTCATTTTTGCCATGGAAAAAGGATTCATCAGTCGGCGATAAACAAAAAATGGATGCAGACGCATCAGCAATCGCATCAGCAGGCAGCATTGTTAGTGTAGCTGCTGTGGAAAGATGTTAGCGCTTGCCATGAGTTTTGGTAAGGTGGTGAAACGGTTAGTTTGGAGCCCTGTACTGTAAAGCCCGGCCACACTGTTTACAGGTTAACTGCCCTGTGAGCCATGCATTTTAAATCTCAGCTGCAGTGACCCAGGAAAAATAGGCCGCTTTTATTGTACTGTATTTATCAAAGGCAACCTCAATGTAAAAAGATAGGGCTGGCAGCAAAAAATTACCTTTTTTTCCTTTCTGGTGGGAAAAAGGGTTCCTCTCATGTGTCCTGCTGTAAATATATAAAAAAAATTACCATTTCTTTTCTGAATGTTTTCTGAATTTAGAATGTTATAGAATATCAGTTGACATCCCACTCCAAATACCACCATATATGAAAAAAATAAAATAAAAATTTTTTTATAATATAATATTTTTTTTTTTTTTTTTTTTTTATATATAACCCTCTCAATAAATATCAGCATTGACCACTGAAAAACCCCTATCAGTTGACTGCTAATTATATTTGATCCTACATTTCCTTGAAGAAATAACCACTGGAGAGGAATGTCCTCCATATAAGACCTGACTCTGACTCTTTTTCTCTCTGTTTCCTGGTGTCTTTGCTGTGTCTCCACTGGCGCCTGTGTGAGTCACAGCAATAGCCAGCGTTGTGGCCTCAAAGCCTCCGCTAATTCTGTCCCCCTCTCATGAAACAACTAAATAATGTGACAGCAGATGCACAAGGCAAGGGAGCTTCTCTGGTTTAAATAGCCGAGCTGAAAGGAGTACACAATTACTCAAGGAAAAAAACGATGAAAGGGTCCAATGAGTCAACACCAAGCAAAGCGTCAGCACAATGTATCTGCACCAACAGACAGGAGTCCATTGTTAGTCAGAGTCACTGTACCCCTAGATCAAACAAGAACAAAACATAGACAAATCTGCTGGATGAAAAGCTGGTGGCAGAGGATTGTCGGTGCAGATTTTGTTTGTGGACTAGCCCACTATCCTTCAAATTATGGTCATGTTGGATGATTTGGCACTTTAAGTCCAAAGCCATGGGTGGGATGGACACGTAGCAAGGCTGATTGTCCTGCTTTAACCCTGATCTGTCCCTAAACTTAACCAAATGTTTTAGTTGCCTAACCATCACCTTATATTTCCAAAAACTGTTTTCTTTGCATAACCTTAACCACTCTGTAGTTGCCATGAACACATATTGATGTAAGGGAGAATTTAAAAAAAGTTTGCATGGGATTTTATCCAGTGTTATGGCAGACATGTGGACTCGAGTCACATGACTTGGACCCCAGTCAGACTGGAAACACAAATTAGTTGACTTTAGAATCAACTTGACCAAATCAGAAAAGACTTGCAACTTGACTTCGTCATTAACACCAATGACTTGAACCCTTTGACTTGAAAATACCAAGCCCAAAGATTAAAGTTGGGGTCAGGGTGATGGATGGGCATTAAGCACATCTGACTTTCATGAGTAAGATCCAAATGTGCATCTTGACTCTAAACCAAAATGTGGAATCTGATTTGCTGATTTCCACATTGCACGTATAGGAATCAAAAAGCTGAATTACAGATACTAATTTTACTGTCTAACTCAGCTGTTTCCAAAGAGCACACATTTCTTTCTCACGTCTGTAAAACTGTAATGTTCTTTGACCAAAATTCCAAGAAAGCTACTAGCACACAGAACCATCATTCATATCTTTATGTACAAGGCCACAACTCTCTGCCATCCTTTGTTGTTTTTGTTTGGCCTAGTGAAAGGATTGTTGCGTGGGGCCGCGAGGTCTGCAGTATGTAGCACTTTCACAGCCTCACTCTCCTTTGCTGATGCAGGTGCTGAAGGGATGCAAGAAGCTGGCCCTGTCAGTGTGTTCTATGGGTCGGATCCCTGGAGGCTACATCACCAACCACGTGTACAGCTGGGTGGACCCTCAGGGCCGGAGTGTCTCCCCACCACCTGACAGCCACGAAGCCAACCAGAGGCAAGGGCACAGCTTGGACGAGAGGACGGTAAGAACAGTGTGTGTGGTGGTGGTACAAGATAAACAGTCTGGTTTATGAGGCAGTTAGTGAAGATGTGATGCATTGCACAATTCAAAATGAATAAAACATCTGATGATCAGACACATAAGTGCAGTGCAGACTTTGAAAGGGACTGCTTTTCTGAATGCAAAGATGCTGTTTCAGGTTTTTGAAATGGCCTCTGCCAGATTCAAAGCCGAGGTTGTTCTAATTGTCCTCCCGCTCATGTCTAACAGCAGCCAGTTCAGGGCTGGATTATGACTCTTTGAGGACAGTCATCATGACCTTTGGTGTTGTGACATTTTAGAAGACAGACTCATCTTACAACAGTCCCCCCGCCCACAAGCACATGACTCTAGCTGCTCCCTGAGAGATGATTTCATCCAAGCGAGTCGTCAGAAAAATACTCCTTTTACCATGCTTTATGACTGGATAGATCATCATTCACCATTACACACTGATCTACTACTACTAATAATAATAATAATACAACTCCACGGGTCCTGGAAAATCTGGAAATTTAGAGACTACTTTTCCGCTCATTGAAACACCAGGAAATTGTTTAAGATGACGAAATATCTTGGAAATAATCTATGTTGTCCTGGAACATGTTAATTGTATTTTAGCCTGTGCTGTGGCCAAATGAATGTTACAATAAGAATGACTGTAGTCAGTTGACCTTTTTCACAGCAGCCATTTTACCACAGGTGTTACCAATTACCAATTAAGGTTCCCTTCCATTCTAGTTAAACAGAGTCAAGGGGGCATGTTGGCTCACTGGAAAGGCTCTGCTACACTAAATCAAACAGAGGGCCTTAATTAGTATAATTGGTAACACCTGCACTTACCCTACTATTTCATGTCAAAATGGCTGCTGTGAAAAGGTCTATTCGGAAAGCAAAAAAATCGGTTGTGGTGGGAACAGGGGTGTTTGGGTGGCTAGTGAAAGCTGGCACTGGGGACCAGGGTTAACACCCTAAGTGCTATCAAGTTTAGGCAACAACAGCACAGTGAATAAACCCGCCCTGTCTTGGGCCTCTCTAACCCTCTATTTTAACTAAGACAACTGTTTCCCAAACAAGTACTTTGAGTGGCTAACACATATGCTTTAGCTGCTGTGAGTGGATATTGCATTCACGAATGTTGCCAGTAAAATGAATGCCAGTGTTTAGCAAATTTGTTAAGTATTAACATGTTGCAACTTGGCAAATATGTTTATTAAAAACTTTTCCTAATTATGTAGATAAAAGATGCAATTCAGGCAGATTTATCCCACAACATATTTGCTGTTGCAAATTAGCACTATATAAACATAATTTGTAGGGGACAGGGTTGCAGTCAGCGAACTCATATTGAATAGATAATTAGGCAAAAGCAAAATATGTACAGAGTTGGTGTTTATGCTCTTACCTCATCACTCCCCACAAAGAAGCACCAAGCCCAGCCCAGCAGGGAGTGGGGAGTGAGTGACAGTAATAATTCCAGAATGGGGAAAGTGGATTCAGAGCCAAAAGGTTCGGTGCTGGGGTGGTGATGCTGGGTATGAACAACAGCAAAACAGTAAGCAGACACACCGCCATGATTAAAAGGGTGTGTTGGATATACAGTATGTTGCAGTGAGTGTAGTGCCATGTTAGTGCTATAGCTGCTGACTGTTGACTGCCTGAACTAGCTTGCAGACTTTCATTTATAAACTACAAAGTCAAAGACATCATAAGCTGACAGGGCCATCTTATGATAAAAAAAAAGATAACAAAAAACTGTCCACAATTAAAGATTTTCCTAGTCGACTAGTCAGATCAACCAGCAGGGGATTGAATACTTAGCTCATTTATTTCAACACAAAGCACAGAATAAATAACTTCATAAAAAAACGAATAGTCTTATCGATACGATGGATGATGTGTAAGGTTAACAGTTGCTTACAAATTAACTCAGTACAAAGCTCCTCTGTTTCATGCCTCTCTGGACCTCTCCTTTTTCTTGCTTCTTACTCCCTCCCACCGGGGATGCATAGAGAGAAGCGAAGGAAACGGGAAGAAGCAAAGGAGGAACGAGGACGCTTTTAGAGAATTGAGACGTCCTTTCCTCCGAAAACGGATCACAGCTGGATCAGCTGTCAGTTAGCTTAACAGCTGTAGAGACTGTTGGTGGAGTTTGTGTCTGCACATGTGTACTGTGCTAATACAGACACACAGTTATCAGTGCCACAGCAGCAGCCTGTTACCTGTTTAACAAACACCTGCAAATGAATAACACCCTGAATTATAGTGATGAGCAGATTGCAGTTAAAACTTTGATTTGACAGCTGGGTTATAAACATTTGGATGATAGCAGGTGAACTGAGAGTGGGTAAAGGATGAAGTTTCTCCCCATCAAAAGAGACGCTGTGCACATTTACACATGAGGCACAGCAGCATACGTTTATTGAGTATTTAAATCTCTGACACACCGACAGGATGGTCAGGATCTGATGTTAATTAATGTTCTGTGTTCTTCTACATCCAAATAGTTTCACACAGACACACACACACACACACACACACACACACCCCGTTTGGAGTAAAGCCTCCTCCTGAGAGAGAGTTTCTGTCCTGTCGACTTTATAACAATTCTAGTTTTTCTGCTTAAAATATTTTGCTATAGTGCCATTACTGTTTGCATGGAAATGTTTAAAATGATGATGATGAAAGCAGCATCTGTAATCATTAAACTAACTGCTCAACAGAAAAGGCACAGGAATTATTTCTACAGGCAGAATGAGTTTTTATTAGTGTTTTTTTTCTGCCACTACAACTCATGAAAATTACGTCCAGACTCTTCACATTGACTGTGATTAAGCCAACTATTAGGGGGCAGCACTACAAAACACACCTTGAGGCGGGTAGAGGACTATAACTTTTCAGAAATTTCTGTTCACTAGCCTTCTAACAGACAGATAATACCTTGAAGAATTCCATTCCATTTTCAAGTCTTTTTGTTTGGTAAATCTGGTGTAAAAACATGTGTAATTGTATTTTTAGCAGTATTTTTAGAGTTTATTTTTCTACAGTCTGAATTTGGTTTTGAAGAGTTGAAGGACTCTTAAAGTTAGTTTATATAAGTAAGCTTCAGCATTGTTCATGCAGAGGTCCAACCATGAACTGAATGGGGAAAATTGGATCAGTCCAACAGATTGATTTCAGCTTACTCTGGTCTTCATGGTAATGACATCAACAATTAAGACACTATCCCTCAGTCTCCTCTTCTCCTGGGGTCAGTCGTCCACTGAAGCACACCAGTGCTGCTCTAAGTGGTTGAAACAAGACTCGAATTGCCTCCATTGCTAGACAGGTTTCTGGTGAAAGGGGAAGTGTGGGGACTGGAAATCGATGCTCCCACTACCACTGTAGGATGCATCCAAACATCCTACAGCAGCTCCATGGTTAAAACTGCTGCATGGGCAGCTCCATCCAGATAACACTGGTGCCCCTTAAAACAGCTCTGTACTGCTCTGCAGATTTGAATGGGGCTCAATTCTGGATAATCCATCCAAAAGCTGCTCAGGACATGATTTACGTGTCCTGTATTAAATGTTGGTACAGAAAACTGCTTATATTTGCTTATATTCAGATGAGCTTGGATGACCTGCAGGAGAAATAATTAAAAGGTGAGGAGTGTCTGGACAGAGGCCTAGAAAGCTGTTACTACTACAGAGGCACAATGGCCTCCTTATACAGTAGGGAGCAATGATTTGCTGGCTCCTTTTTTAGAGACCACATCAATCTTTGTCAGTTAAGCTGCCAGATATATGCCAGTTGATCTACAATATGCCAGCACTCTGTTTTATGAGTTTTTTATGAGTCCTGTCTATTTGAACTGTTTTCTTGTGTGAAAATTATAGAGCTCCCATCTGTAAAGCCAAGATTCACAACGAGACAACCGTTTTAGAACAGAGCAGCGAGCAGTTGCTGCGGTGTGAACTGGCCTATCACCTGTTAGGAAGCAGGGATGATACAAAGCCTTAGAATTCACTCCAATAAAGAGTGAACCAAGGACAGGTCGAAATTCTTGACCTGTAAAGTATCTCACTATATCCTCATTCATATTTTAAGATGTAACAAATTCTATCCAGCTACATGAAAATTAGTGCTGTCAGTTAAACGTGTTATTAACGGCGTTAACGCAAACCCATTTTAACGGCGTCAATTTTTTTATTGCGAGATTAACGTTCTTTTTGGCCTAGCACACTTTGTAGTTTTTTTCACATGCTGTTGCAACAACTAGTAACGTTAGAAAAACTACAACACCACACCGGATCTAGCTAGACCAGAAACAAAACAACAGGCATGCCGCACACACTTGTTTAAGAGTAGTAGACGTTATGTTTTGAGTGGATGGCGAGCGCGAGACGCCGAAATGGATGCCAATAATATTCTGAATGGAAATTTTACTTTTAAAAAGTTGTCAAATGGTTCCATTGACAAGACCAAAGTGATCTGTGTGTTTTGTCGTTGTGAACTGAGCTATCATCGCAGCACGTCCAGTCTGAAATACCACTTGATGGCCAAGCACACAGCTGATGTGAATTCTCCGACCCCTCGTCAAAGCCAGGCGACAATGGATGATTTTTCAATAAAAACAACATTTGCACCAAGCAAGTCGATCCACTTTTCCATGTCGATAAGAGCATTAAAATGAGAAAAAATAATGGGACAAAAAGAAATCAGTGGACATTTAGAATAGATAAAAATGTGCGACTAATTGCGATTAATTGCGAGTTAACTATGACATTAATGAGATTAATCGCGATTAAATATTTTAATCGTTTGACAGCACTAATGAAAATGCATGAAAAGGACAAGTCAGAATGTAAGTACAGACAGTTGCTATGGAGATGATACATTGTCTGGTCTAGTTGCATTGGTGTAAACGGGCAGGTTTCAGAATGTTGCAGACCGCCGCATTGTATCCTTTTTATACATCCATCCTTTCAGCAGATGAATGTGAAAACATCCTTCTAGTGTCAGTCTGCACATACATCATTCACACATCACACTGTAGGAACAAGAAGAAACACTTTAGAAGTTCAGCGATTTATTTCATTTGAGCATCATTTGTGAAAATATGGATTTAAATAGCAGTGTGACAAATGACAAACGCAAAGAACATCTTTTAGCTGCGCTGATCCATGATTTCTATATTGTTATGTTTTTTCCATATTGCTGTGTTTGTTTGACCCATCCATTCATACCAGCCTCCTCCATATGTGGATTTTCTCACTCTTTGTACAATATCACCTGACTTAAACGGCACTCATCAAAACATTAGACAGGACAGGTGTACTTGCAGTGCCATAGTTTGGAGTGTAGGGCCACTGACCACGCTGCCATATTTGACGACTTGGGAGTGAGAACAGGCTGTTCTCAGCTTGTTGTGTTACTCTCGAGTGGCAGAAAATCTATTATGGCAGCTTTGTTTTTTTTTAACATTCGTTTTTGTGCTTTTATTGCCTCTCTAGCAGCTGTAGAGAGACAGGAAAGTGGTGAGAGAGAGAAGGGGATGACAGATTCTTTGGAGGTCGTTATAAGTGTTTAAAACTTCATAAGTGAAGAAACAAATATTGCTGTAATTTTTCTAGTATGAACCTCTGGAAAATCTAAATCTCTACTAGAGAAATCAGCCACGCTCTACGCATTTCAGTATATCATGGTGTACAGATATGGATTTACAAGCTACATGTAAGTGCAAAAACTGGACTTGATAACTTGATATACTGTATATGTGAATTTTAATGTGGGAAAAGTCTTGTAAAATCTGTGTTCACATAATGGAATAGCATGCACTTTAAATCAAAGTCAACTGTTCTCGTTCCCTGAATGACACATTATTATAATTTACATGACATTTTTCTAAAAACATTCAGAGAATAGTAGTCAGTGGCACATGGTCAAACACAGTGTGAGTGTATGGAGCACATGGTGTTGGTAATTCTGAGGCCAAAGTAAGCTGTGCTTCTGTGATGTGGTTTGAGAACAGTGCTGGAGGAGGAGATGTGATGGCCCTGGCTTCAATCATCACCAGTCCAATCACTTCGTCTCCTTCCCATTAAAGCCAGTGCACTCTGTGCCGTAGCACACAGAATTTGGCGGTGGCAGAGAACACTAGAGAGCTCTGCTAGAAATGCTTCTCCCAGGAGGAAACTAACATATCGTACTTATGTATCATGAGGTGCAGAATCGCCACACATCCAACACACAATGTCAACTAACTAACTAATTATCGGCACAGTTCATTTCATATCATTGGACAATTGTTGTAGAAAAAAAGAGAGCACTGGGTGACTCTGAGTTGTTTGCTGTGGGTTATTTAGTCTTTAGTCATATATTTTTGCTATCCATCCTATACCTATACGCAGGTTTAAGATCCCCTCCAGACATGTATTAATACATAATACTGCTTGGAACAATGATTTCAGTTTTCTATATAATTTCCACATCTCCTCCTTCTACTTCATTAGAAATTCCAGAATCTCTGAATATGCAAATGTTTTTTATTTCCAAAGTGTTCCTGCTGGACACAAGATGTCTCCCACTTCACTGTAAAGGAGACATTCTCAGTGGATGTGCACTGGTGGCTTCAAGTTTCTACATCACACTGTACAAGTTGCATACTGGACCAGGACTGACTTCCAAACTATTTGTGATGTCACAAATCCTGCTATTAGGCCACGCCCCTTAAAATCAGATTTTCAATGAGCACAGAAAACTTTCCACTTTCAGCAGATGAATGTGAAAACATCCTTCTAGAGTCAAACTCTGCACAGACAGAATTCAAACAGCACACTGTAGGGACTAGAAGACACACTGGTTTCTGACCGGAGGGGGCTTTGACTTGACTTCTTGCCTAGAATATGGTACTATATACTACCACATATCCACACTTTAAATGATCTGCTTCACCTTAACATGATAAGGGTTTGGTTTCGTGTATTTGTAGCAATGAAATATTTTAATATGGAGGTGAGCAAATACAAGTTTGGATGCTGTACAGCTGCTCAAAGCCTGCAGCATCAACCACATCGTTCACTGGAGTACTGTTAAGTAGCTCATATCCATTTCCTGCTACTCAAGTTATCATATATATCATATAGTAACTCCTATATTTACCGAAGGAAAATTATTTTCTGCATGCACTGATAAGCTGTTGCGGTTGCACAAGCCAGCAGGTTTCAGAACATTTTCAGTCTTTTATCAGAAAGACAATTATTCTCGTCTATAAATAAATCTATGTGTTAATGATATTTACCAGGAAAAATATGTTTTTGGTACATACGGATTAGCAGCTACAGTTATATTGGAATACCTTACAGGGAGGGATTTATATCAAAGTGAAACTGACCAACATCTATCTATAAAACAGCTTTGAAAGGTGTTTTGACATGCATACTTTGCTTGGTAAAACCAATAAACAGCAATGACTGTGGTATTTTGACATGAAAATGCAAAACACAGTAATAGTGACTCCAAACTGCATTGATTATCACTGACACACCCTGCTGCATCTTTCTCCTCCACACTGAGACACCAAAATATAACCCCTGAGAGTGCCTACAGCATGCTTCATGTTGTTGCCTCATTTTTACACTGAATGTCATGTTTCCCCTGTAGGTAAACCTGAATATGGATGATGGACGCTCTCTGGGCCTAATGATCAGGGGTGGTGCTGAGTATGGATTAGGTATTTACATCACTGGAGTGGACCCCGGATCTGCTGCAGATGCTGGTGCACTGAAGGTAACCAAACTCAGCCTGTCTTGACAGCATTGTTATATTAGGACACAAAACCTGTTTAAGATGTCCAACCTAGTGAGAACTGAGATCTTTGAGAGAGTTCTCAGAGATATCCAAGTTCATTACCTGAAGTTATCTATAAGAATAAATGATTGTAGGTTTCATTCATGCCATGCCTCCACCACCATGTTTGGCCAGTACATTCATACATCAGCTAAAATCTTCCTATAGAGATATCGGCTGTACAGATGTCTGCCTTCTCGCCAATAGAATGGAACCAGATGGCACTCAACAACAATGTCTCTTCCCAGAAATTCCAATGTTGTTTGCGGATGACATTCTTTTCTTTATAGGAAATCCACTATCATCTATCTGCTCTCATGCAATGGCTGAGCAACTATGGAGGTGAAATTCAAATGCTCAAAGAAGCAATTATACACAGCCAGATACGATTAAGTCAAAATTCTGAAAACATTCAAACTACATCAGTTGATTCTAAGCAATCTATTTCTAAGGGTATTGTGGAAAACAAAGTATATGTGATCAAAGCTCATGTGTGAATAGCCCATAAAAGGCTTACAACAAACTTGCTTAAGCCTCACCCACCTACCTCTGGCCAGTGGACCCAAAGACAAAAAAAAAAAAAGAAAGGGTGAATTGTAGGGAAAAACCTTGAGACTGCAACTCTGAAGGGACATTTATTTAGAAAGATGGTCTTCTACTTTATTGTACCAGCAGCAATGTAAAGTAGATTTGATATATGGAAGCCCAAAACACTAACAAACTCTGGGATGGTCATTTAAGTCTTTGTTATGGATTAAATGAGTTGTTGACGTGAAGATTTCCGGCACCATGCCAGCTGTCAACGCTAACATCTGCTACCTGATTCTGATGAACCTGTTAGCATTCCTGCCACCTGCTCCCTATTACACTGCTAAACCTGTTAGCACTACTAACATCTGCTACCTGCCTTTCAGCCTCAGTCAGGCAGCTGACTTTACTGCAATGACAGGTCGGCAGAAATGCAAAATCTCTGCTGTGTGCTTTCAGGTCGGCTTTCTGCCTCAACAAGCAGGCCACTCTAGCTCTGTGCTATTTTTCAACCTGCCTGAGGCAAGAAAAACAGACGCCAGTGTCTTCCTACCTGTAAACAATATGGCTGAAACCTCAATATGGCTTTCATGAAAATATCACATGGTGTCCTACTTGGGGATAAAAATAAAGCATCAAATTTTACTTATTTATTTATTATGGTTTGATTTCTTACTAGTCCAAACCAATTGGGACACCTTGGAAAAAAGATTTACACAGAGAGAAAGGAGATTAAAAAAGCAAGAGCTTGAAAGGCATTCTAAAAATTCAAATGTTGTCCCTTGAAAGATGCAGTGTGACATTTCTCAGTTCCTTTGACAGAGAGAGATGAAGAGGTGCTTTTTTCTTATCATGCAGGAGTGGCTGGTCATGCTGCAGAACTGGAGCTTTTGACATGCTATGACAGAAAATGTGAAAACAAGAAGAAAGGAGAGAGCACAGAGGGTAAAAGAGAGGAGACGCATAAAAAAAATACAGCAGATGTTTTCTCCTCACCAAGTATCACGTTGTGTCTCCATTCTCTGCTAGTCTGCAGCCATTCATTGTTTGTGGACAAGAGCTGTTGTCCATCTTTACAGTGTGTGTGTGATGGTCTGGGTGCCTCAGATTGAGTGTTCCTGCCATTAGAGTGGGAGCAGCAGGCGGAGAAGGAGGCTGTGTATCATTTCCTGCAAAACCATCCCTCTTCCCCTGTTTACGTCCATCTCTCCCACCCTCCTTGTCCTCCAGTGTTGTGACAGTTAATAAGATGGAGGGTTGGCTAGACACTTCAGCAGGTTATCATCACAAGGAAAATGTGTGGTGATTTCCATTCAAATACATCAGTTTGATACCAGTTAGCCTACAATTAAGAGTTTATTGTTTATTTAAGGATCCCCATTTAAACCACACAGATGTGCCTCTTGTCTTTTTGGGGCCCTGAACATCAGAAATACAGTACATACAATAAGACAAAAACTTAAAATATGAGAGTACTAGGCAAATAAACTGATGTGTGAACACAAGAATAAAGTGATAACAGATAACAATGCAAAAGGGAAAAACAAAAACCTAACAATCAGACCAGTATACATGTAGTGCTATGTTCCTATCCTGTTATATAGCAAGATATTTCTTTATATGCTTTCTAAAAGTTGTTTTGATATTAATAGTGGATATGATATCTTGGGGCAGAGAATTCCAGAGTGCTGTATAAGATGGTAATTTTACGGAAATTAGTTTTAGGCTGTGGCCAGAGGCTAATAGTGATAGTAGGTACACTATAGGTAACCCCTTAAAGTCACTTCTTGATGCACCTACTGCCTAAGTTAGGTGAATGTCTGCATATGGAAGTAGTGGCATGGATGGACAGCTCAAAAAAGCCCAGGACTTTAACCCACTGTTCATGCCCTGTCCTGTGTGAAACCAAAAATATAATTTGTAACAATTTACGCAAGTTATTTCAGGTATGTTATGCAAGTTATGTTTTATTCAGTTATGTAAAGTATGTTTTTTTCCCCACAACATTACCCATGCCAGCTTTATTTTGAAAGTCTAACTAGACATTGCATATTTATTAGTGCTAGACTGGAAGTTGCTGACATTATTGTTAACTTGACCACGGAGACCCCTTTTAACTTCTGCATGTCTAGAAGTTAAAGGGGTACCTACAGTGTCACATTTGGAAGCACATAGACACTGACCAAGCAGCAGTATTTGATGAGCTGGGGGTTAGAATGTATTGGTGAAACCCTCTTTACTGAGGCAGAATCAGTAACAGTAACAGAAACAGACAATATTAGTGTGTGGCGCCCACTTTATGCAAAGGAGCTTCCCTCCTAAGATCTCTTTTTTCATTATTCACATTCTCATTGTTTGTGTGTACAAGAGAGTGCAACACCACAACTTCCTTTGAGGAGAGACCAAAAGTGTGCAGTGTTGGCCCCCTCTGTACGATCCATGGCATCTACCCCCTCCCTATGGCAGACGTTATGTCCACACGTTTGAGCATGGCCAGTTGGAACATGTATAAATAGGTGATACTGAATCGACAGTAAGACAATCAGTCAATGCTGCACTGGCCAGACACCATAGAAAATGTGGAAAATCATGATTGTGAATGTTTTGGTGACAACCCCCACACCCCCTACAGCATCACCTGTAGGCCAAAATGCCAAAGACTGCTTGCCAGACTGGTATAAAGTTCCTTGAAACACATGCATTAGTACTGTATACAAATACAAATACAATATAACTTTTTTTCACTTGGTTCATTTCAGGACAGCATGCCAGATGAAATGACTTGTTAAGATTTATTGTTTTGCTGGTATAAAGCTGAAAGCAGCAGTGTACCCTTGTACACAGTTTGAAATTGTGATGTTAAATATTCCTGAACTCAGCATTGCTGGGAACCTTGTAGATCCATCATCACAGCTCTGTATGAATTGGCCCGGCTGAAAGTCATATTACTCATTTATATTTGTGCAACACAGTGACACGTGGTGTTGCTCATTCATTACTTTAAGAGAGTGAAACACTCAGCCACATCCATTAGAAAGTGATATAAATCTGTTCTAAATCCATTCAATTAGAACCTGTTTCTCACCTTGCAGAGGTCGCTTTGACACCAGATTAGAAGAACAAACGGAATTGAATGTTTGTATTGTTAAATACTATTTCACAAGGTTTGAATGAGAAATATTCTGTTACTCTGAGTATTATGTTTCAGTATTGTTTGAATTTTGCCTTGCTTCTTTTGTCATGACCTAACTTTTTTCGACTTGATCTTGAATTAGTGTCAGCCCCTGTCTTGCCAGGGGTCCCTTCATGTCCAATGCACTGCAGGCAACAGCGGAGAGGAGGAGGGAGAACTGAAAGTGCTGGTGTGAGATTAAGACAGGTGTATAGGTCGATATTGGCCCTTTATGCTGCACTGGATAAACAGTCAGTCAGTATGTCAAACTTTGATAAGATGTCCCATGATGCTTTTTCACATTGACAAGATATATGAATCCACTGGTGGAATGTGGTTGTATTTGTAGATATAAAAAGACGTTGATAACTGGATGTTTCACTACAACAATGTAAGAACTACATGCCCAGAGGCAACAAGCAGAATTACAAATGTAAGCATATTTGGATTATCTTGTTTGTTTTATACAACTATAACAATCTATAATGACAGCACAACACTGAAAGCTTCATTTAATTCAAGATGAAAATGTAAAACTAATGGCTTTATCAGTTTAGCAGTCATTTTTGTCAAAACATGGTTTAAATGAAACATCAATGGCTCAACTAATGTCAACATGTCATATGTCTTGTATCATCTTTATTAAGTCGATAGGGTGAACATGTTAGCAAACATATACTGAGTTACACATCCAGCGGACACAGAGCGACATTAGCATTCATTTGCAGTTGTGTTTGTGTCCACCTGATGAATTTAAGTCCAATATGCAATATGTACTGTTCTGTAGAGTTAATGTGAACTGCACAGTTGGTGATATATTTCTTATAAGGTGTCACTCGTAGTGACCAACTCATAGAATTATTATGTATTGATTAGTACAGCTTTATCGTATTCTGGTTTTGTTATGGGGATACCACTGTTACCACGTTGGGACAGTAAGCAATGTCATCTTGTTTTGCTGAGCACTAGTGCTAGCTGCCCACTCTCTTTGCAGGTTAACGTCCACATGTCCACTGTGCTAAATGTGGTTACTTCGAGAGGTTATATGCCAGTTTATTTCTGACACAATTATTTTCTTTTTTTCTACTTGATCAAAACACTGATGAGCTACAACGGTTTTCCAAGCCTCAATCCATGAGTTCATATAAGAGCTTTCTTCATATTTAAAGTTTAGACAGCTAAAACTACTTGGTCAAGATTAGGTACAGATTGTCGTACTGGTTAAAAGATGAATTTAATG